CAGCGGGTGGGGTGTGCGCCGAGGGGCGCGGGCGTTTCAGGTGCCGTTGCTGTGTACACTGTGGAGAAGAAGAAGGGAAGGAGCATCTTAAATGGTTAATCGCTGAAATACTACTTGGAACTCAAATCAGTTTGGGGGACTTACTCAGTCCAAGGAGTTTGCGAACTCTGAATTTTCCTGGTGGTGCTACAAGGCAAGCAGAGCTTGGAGTAGTCCTCATGCGGAGTTGCACACAGGTTGCAAGTTCAGAGGATGGTGATGAAGTGTGTCAACGGCAGTAGTTAGATCTTACCACTTTGCGGCAAGCATAAAGAATAGTTATTTTAGGATATATAAACATATTTTTTTCAAAAAGTGCTCTTTCACAAGTGGAGTAAAAGTGGTGTTGTGATTGAGCAAATACTATCTATTCTGTCTGTAAATTTGAGTCCTCAATGCTCAGTGAGATACTGAAGGTACCGCTAGCTTGCAAATTTCTCAGATCTGTTCTCTTCCCTTTCTGGAAAGACTAGGGCAATGCATATAACTGTATAAAGTTGTGAGTGCCTCTTGCAGAGAGAACAGGATATTGGGATGGGATTCACCTCATCTGATTTGATGTGTCAACAGTGATGATGACTGCAATAGAGATGACTAGGCTGTCTTTATTGTCAGAGGTACTCTTAGAGCATGATTAATTTTAGGATGAACACCTAAAATCAGTCACAGGAATCAGTTTTTAGAAATGCCTCTTTGTAGATACCCAAAATTATGTCAGCTTTCTCCTAAACAAAACTATCACTTTATACTGGTGCTTAAAAACACCTTGAGGCTGATGGTCAGACTGGTCATTGGTGGCAGAGATTTGACTCATATGAGGCTGAATGTGGTGAGGAAATAACTCGTCAAATCAGTTGCCCTAAACTTCCTTGAAACTCTTAAATCTGAGCACGGAGAGAAACTGTTATGGCCATGCTGGTGGCAGTAACTTCCTGCTGGCAGGTAACAGAATGTCCACATCCTGTTGTTAGACAGGTGGGCTACCTCCCGTATTATAACAGGAGTGGACTGTCAGGCATTGACTAGCGCTGTGAGGCACTGGTGTGCTTGCCACTCACCCTGTCTTGCTGCGGCTGTTCATCTTTCACTGAGGGACTCATTCCAGCGCCCTTACTTTATCATGGTTATTGCGAGAAAGCTGCCAGAGAGTGCTCTATCTTTCTCTTCCTTCTTGTACTTCAACGTGTTTGTGGATTTGTGAGGAAGCGCAAGTGGCAGTACTTTGGGTTGAATATGGCAGCTTTATATCCCTATGCTCAGCTGAACTGAACAGAATTTGAACGTTTACAAATGTTTCTGGCCTTGCTCTGTATTTGAGAGGATGCTGATAGACGGAGATAATTTGTAAGTTATGTCCATGTTTCTTACATATTTCCTTTCTTTTGATGTAGCTAAAATACAAAAAAATGCATTTTTCTGCATCCTTTTGTGCCTAGGAAGTTAAATGGTAGCATTCTCTTCCCCACTTTATATTGCTGGAACAAGCTGTCATGAACTAGAGTAGAAGGCAATGACATGGCAGGAGCAAAGGTTGTTTGTACTTTATAATATTTTTTTATGGCTATGAGTATTTTTTGGTAGTGGGGTATTGGGTTTAGGGTCTATAAAGTTGTCATGTCCCGCTCAGACGAGGGGGACAAGTGACTCAGATTCACAAATCCCCAATTGGAGCGGACAACAAGTCTCCAAGTTCAAGCATTTATTAACTACCTACAATGTACTAATTGAACACACGATAATTGGCTAAGTACAGAGCAGGTTGTGGCAAGCAATATAATATGGTTTGCATTTCTTAATAGAAAAAGGAAAAGAGGGAGATAGAGGGAATGGGGAAATACAGATCACCGGTCTGGATTCCTGCGCGATCCCACCGGCAAGGGTTCCAGGAGGCGGCCGTCTTTTTTGCTGGCATCTGTCTTCTTCCCTTCACTGCTCTCTCCAGATGGCCAGGGGATCAGAGAGAGGGGGGCAGAGAGAGGGGGGCAGAGAGAGAGAGAGAGTCCTTTCTTCCCTTTGATTTATACCTACTTTTCTTGGGTCTGTCCCCTAGGTTGACCCACAGACCTACATATCCCATGTACGGGGAGGGGTAAGGTGTTTCATGGGATGATGTCACTAGCATGATCATGACAGCCCTCATTAGCATATTGAGGGGTGTCAACTTTAATATGCATTTTGTGGATAATGAAGCAAAGTTCATTCACCGGACACATGGCCCTTGAAATTTGCCCAGGTGCCCCAGAGAAGAGCCGTCCTGTCTCCACAGGGCTCTCTCCCCCAGCTACATCGGGCAGCGTTATCAGCTTCGGCCCTCACAGAATGCACCCTGAGACTCAGAGTTTTGTCTTGCGAGAGTTTGAGGCATTTCTTCAATCAGCCTCAACTTTTGCTTTCCCAGGCTGTTTGTCTTAGTTTCTCACAGGCCTGTTTTTTTGTCTCTCACAAAAGTCTTAAGTGATCAGTAATTTTGTCTGCTTAGGGACTGGACTGCTTTCATCGTATAGTGTTGTGAGCACAACTGTAATTAGTTAAGGGGCTCAAATTATAATCCATGTCTTTATAAAGCAGAACACTTAATTTTGTAGTCTAGGTACAGTATCTCTGAGTGCTTGTTAGAACTTTCTTGGATTATCCAAGAGAAGATGACAGGGGAAAATCATAGAATTGGTTAGGTTGGAAAAGAACCTGAAGATATGATACAGGTTTGCTGTATGGAGCAACAGAACTGCTTTTGGTGTAGTCCGTTACTTGAGGCTTGAGGGTGTAGTCCTGGCTCAGTCTTCAATTTTGTCATTTTAAGTGGTTTTTTGTACATTCAGATGCAGAGCAGGATTTAGCCTTCCTGTCCTTCATTGGCACTCCTGTTCTCATCATGTAAAGCAGTCATTGTTGTGAACTTCTAGTAACAGTAGAGCTGTATTCTCCCTAAATTTTATAACTTGATAAAAGTGTGGAAATCCTCAAACACAGCTGCTGTCTTTATTGGCCTTTGTGGATGCTTTTTTGTTGTCATTTTTAAACTACTTTTCCACTTAATCTGTAATTATCACATTTCCAGGTTTATAACTGTGCTTTGTTATTAATTCAGTAGCATTAGCTGGATCAGGCTTGATGAAAACAAAAATAAAACTACAATGAAATAATATTTTTTTTCACTGACCCTTCTCATACTTTTGTATGCCTATTCAACAGAAGAAGTGGGAAAATTTACTACTGAATGTCACAGGATGGAGCCCACCCAGAAAGCTTTTTTTTAGAAAGCATCTTTCAGGTCTTCCTAAATAATTCAAAATGTATTTTTGTGCACTACTAGTAATTTCTGAAGAAAACTCTCTGATTATTAGAATCAAGTGAACCTCACAGAATTCAGTATCCAGCGATACTGATTTCTCATGCCTTACAGGATCAGCCTGTGCAAGCAATGGAGTTTCTGCGTCACACTGTATCCATATTTTGGTTATGCTGGGATTTTAGAAATCTGAGGACTCAGAAAATTGAAAAGCTGTATGAGACAGTAATTCTCCTATAGACTGAGATATTAAAATCAGTTGATAGTGCCAAAATAGTTGGCAACTTCTTACAAAAAGGCCCTATAATTTTTTTTTTTTGAAAGACAATATTGTTTCAGGAAACTTATTAATGTTATATTGATTAATTGATCAATTAATAGTAATACCTGATGTGCTACATTTCTGCTGGCCTTTGTGAATTATGTGTGAAGGGTATGGGCCCAGCTCAAAGAGGGTGATTGAAGGGCATTCCTAAAATCTGACAGAACCATGGTGAATAAGGCTGTTGGAAACTTGAGACCAGGCCTGGAGAGACATTTCCTCTCACAGTGCGATGGAAGAATAACTGTAATGGCAGCCCAGCTTGAGACAGTTTTTATCTTAAACATTAAGGATTAGATTCTCCATTAATTCAAAATGAATCTGTGCAAACTGGTGCTAATAGTGTGCATATTCTTAACTTGTGAATACTGTATACTGATTTTTTTTTGGTTAAGTGTAAATTACTTATGAAATACTTTCTGCAAATCCTTGAAGATGAAGTAAAATACTTTATTCCTCTTTGTCCTTACAGATTGAAAATCTGAAGAAAATAAACCATGAGCTAAGGCAACATGTCATACAACTTCTTGATAAGAAGCAAGTGGTAGAAAGTCAAGTGGATAGGTTCGCCTGTAAAAATGATCATCTGTGTAAAGAACTGGCTGTAATTGGCAAACTATCAGAGAAGCTGGAAAAAGAATTGGTATTGAATACAAGTGATAAGGAGCTTGAGGAAGCAAAGGTATCTACTTATTAGAATTAAGATTGTGAAGTGATATTTTAATGTTGGTTGCTAATATGGGGAACTGTTTTCTTACCTTTTGGACCGAATTTGTAGCTTTCATGTCTGCATTGAAGTATATTTGCTGAGATGAAGGAGGAGTAGGCTCTGTCCAGTGTGGTATTTTTTCAAGTGTAGAGTGGCTCAAGGATTAAAATCATGCTTGCAGCTGGAAAGAATGTTATTTCAGTGAAAACTGCTTTTGATTTCACAGGATAATGGAAAATTGCACTCTATGCACATGCAATTATATAGTGGTCAGATGGGAAAAGGCAGATTATTTGGTTGCCATTATTTTAGCTACATACTTATTTCTTTAGCCCATAGGTATAGTCAAATTGCCCCTGTTTTGAAAAGTTTCTCTGTAAGACAGTTCTGGGAGAAGGTGTCCCGTTTCCTTTTTTATTCACTCACCCGAGAGCAACTCAACTGTTACTGTTTTTCCTAATCCTGGAAGATAAACCTTTTAACTGATCCCCTTCTAGATTATGTTTATTGCTACTAAATAGTATGCTTTCAGCCTAGTCAAACTAGAAGACGTGTACAAAATGCTCCTTGAACTAGAACAGTTGAGCTAAACTGCTGGATTTGCACTGATCAAAGTTAATGCATCTCTTGCTCTCAATGTTTTTTGTGGTAGATTCAAATTCGACACCAGCAGAAAAAGATAAAGGAGCTGGAACACATGGTGAAAACACTAAAATCTGTGAGTTAAACATGTATCCTTAATTTATATGTAGCTATGAAATCAGGTCATTTCCACATGAAATTAATACTTGTACAAGTGAATTTCACTTGCTTTGTTTTTACTGTTAACAGAAAAATTATAGAATGGATAAACAGATCTGTTTTCACTTGTAGTTCTCTGTCTCTACATGGATGGGAATCTGCTTCTGTTTTGCAACTAGCCTGTAATGTTTGTGCTTTTGAGAATCTTAATTTTTTTTTTTACAAACTTGCATATAACTGTTTTGGACACTGTGTAAATCACTTGCAAAACTGAAAAAAAATTAACATTTTTTTCTTTAAAATTTTTATCTTCTGTCTTCCTTAAGGTGTAACAATACTGTTGGAATATTTTGAAATGTATACAATGTTGTAATTGTAGAAATATTTGCCAGTGGTAAATCTAACTTAAATTAACATTTGATTTTATTAAATGGACTCATTCACTTGCTTCCAGTTTAAATTGACCAGGAATTTTTTTATGTTTTCAAGATAATGATTTCTTACTATAATTTAAAGATTTGTCTCAAATTTCAGGGGGGGTGGGCGG